TTCCCTGGCTCACGTGGGTCCTGAAAGGGGCTTAGCCAGTTTTTCCAGTGCAGCACAGTCACCAGTGTGCTGGTTGAAAACTCCAGAGGCAGGACCTCCATCCGGCACAAACAGCTCCTAGACAGAAGTTAGTTGTCACTGGGGTACATGGTAGAAGGCACTAGAAAATGTACCATTTGTTTTCCTGACCAACTCTTTCTATGACTTTAATGTTTTTTAGAAGCACATTTCAGCCTCTTTAAAACAGGAAAAATAAAGGTAAGGGAGCTCTTGCAAGACTTGCTATTTTAATCTCCTGGTTTGACATGTGCAGCTTTTGTGTTCCTGAAACTATCATCCAGCTCCTGCTTCTGTATATGAAGAGAACTAGACAGATAAATTCAGTTCATTCTCCTGGGAGAAGCTGTACAGTATCTGATTCCTGAAAGCAGTGTCATCTGTGCCCCTGCTCTATGCCTGCTGCCACCAGCTCAGGCACCACACAGAACATGGGAAACAGGGGAAAGGAGGTTGGAGCTGCACCAAGAATAAGTAGGGAGAGCTGCCCTGGGAAAAGTTGTGTCCATGAGGTGCTCGTGCTTGTGATGGGGCCCATATCCCAGCCCAGGAGATCCTTTCCCTTGGTCAGCACTGGAAATACAGAAAGTGAGCGTGGAGTTACTGTATGAAATGGGCCACATCTCTCAGGAATCTCAAACTGATTCTACCTTTGTATGTTAGAGGATTTCTCCAGCTCTATCTGTAGTCTTTGTCTTGCTACAAATGATGATTAAGAATCCTGGATTTTTTTGTAGCCAACCTTTTTAGAAAAGGACTGGTTTGTAGTCTCCAAATTATTTCAGTTATATGCCTGAATATAATAGATCTGACCCTTACTGATTCACTGATGGACAGAGTAACTTCTTTTTCTACATCAAATATTGTGGTCTCATTTTCTTGAGCTTTTCAGTATTTTCTCTGGAATCTGCTTCTCTAAAGTTTTCTCTTTCTGCTGGGGTAAATTATTCCTTTTGGATCTACTGCCTGCTGCTGCTGCTTCTGTTTCTGTTAAATTATACCCCTCTGTCCTTTCTTCTGAGTTTTCTGGGGCATCTCTGCATTTCTTCAGGGCATGGCAACCACTAACAAATCCCTTCTTTTTAGGGAAAGATGAGAAATCAAGGAAAAGAAAAAAAAAAAGGGACTGACCCCCTTCCTGTGTTGCCTGCCGCTGCTTTCCTCTTCACCGAGAGGAGAGATGAAATGGGGGTGTGAATGAAACTCCACAGCTCTTCTTTCCTCGTGCTGATTAAGCTGCAAGCATGACTGGGTTCTGAGCCAGCATAAACAGGCTGTAAATGGGGGTATAACATAGCTGGGGTTTAGCTCAGCCTCCATCACATGTGAAGCAAATTGCGTTTGCAGGCAGGACCGGTGTCACTGTGTCTGCCAGGTAGGGCAGCCGATAAGCTCATCAAAGTTGTGCATCCTCTACACTCTCTCCAAGGGTGCTTGTGCTGCCCTTTGGTGCTGCCTGCCCTGTCCTCAGCTGTGATGGCAAAGGATGTGTCAGAAAGTCCGTGGAAAGCACCATTTCACCTTGTTTGCTCTTTGCAGTGGGTTTCAAAACTGAGGACAAAAGCACCTCTGTCCTCGGCTTTCCTGGGCCAATAGATGCCCTGGGCACAGGACAGAGTTCACTTCAAACCTGCAGCTCTGCTGGTACCTGCAGAGCCACCTGCCTCCAGTCTCCAGCAGCGTGTGCCACCCATCCATGCTGGCAGCAACCAGCATTTCAGCTTTCCAGCAGAGCCAGCCTGTCCTGGAGGGCATGGCCAAATCCCAGACTGGAGAGGTTCTCTCCATCATATCCCTGTGAAGCTTCTTTTGACACTGGCCTCGATTGGAGTTGCAGAGGGATGCTCCATGCTGCTCTGAAGGCAGGAAAGAGCAAGAAAAGTGGTTTTGTTCCTTGAAGCTTTTCTTGAGTGAGGGACAGTCATCATGCACAGGCCTGTTTTCAGTGAGTGGATGGGAATTTTTCTGAAATGTGCCCCTATTTAGACACATTATATGGGGAGGGAGAGAAATGGTACTGGCTAATCTGTTGCAAACAAATGACCAATTTGGAAGTAAACCACTGGGTTTGAGCTCTCTACACAGAACCCCTATTTCAGTGTGAATCCTGCATAATTTGGGCAGATGACTTACTGCTGCTTCTACTTTCCTCTTGCACAGGATTAAATATCAAGAGGGGAATTAGGCCTTTATCTCATTTGTCACTCTTGAGCACTGAGCAGATTTTCTTCTGATCTGTTGTCACAGGGTGCATTTATCCCATAGAGCAGAAGTAAAATTGCAGGGCTCAGGCAAAATGCTTGTGTGCTGAATGGAAATGCAGGCTGCAGCCTCGGAGCTGCTGTGTGAGGGAGCTTTTCATGCTCCACTTGTGCTTGAAGCTTTACTCTTTTTGCCATAAGCCAGAGCTGACTGGGCATTTGCTAGTACCTCAGGTAGAGTGATGCTACTCCATGGAGCTTTTATATTAAAAATTGCCTCCTGGTTTCAGTAGCAGCCCTTCTGCTTCCTTCTGTGCCTCCTTGCCTTCAGGAGAATGTGGATGTAGTCATATATCTTTATTTAATCAGCTGGAAGAGTGCCAGATAGCTCCCAAGGTGAAAAATAAGGTTCTTTTATCCTCCTGGCTATGTGTGCCCATAGCGGAACAATGGTCCTGTCAGGTAATGAGGCTGAGTCAGCATGGGGAATAAAAATTATCTCTTCAGATGTCAACCCTGTTATCCTTCTGCATGCTGACATCTTCACTGAGCTTGGCCTGGCTCATGTGTAATGGTCTTTATGTGAGGCTGTGAAATTAAGGGCTCAGGTTTTATGGCATTTGGCATCCTCATCTGATTTTTTTCCCCTCTCTTCCAGGTCATGTGAGGAAGGGCTAAACATACACAGCCTGTCCATGGCTGCAGAGCTCAGATGTATAAGTTTACCCACAGAGTGTTGCTGTTTTGGCATCGCCGCAGCAGCTGGCATCAGCCCTGCTCAGTGACAGCCCCACTCCCCGTGCCAGGAGTGGGAACTTTGGGGTGCCAGTGGTGTGGGCACTGCTGTCAGAGATCCTCCTGCAAAGGGACCACTGTGTTCATGTGTGTTCATATCTCATAAGATTTACATTTGAAATGTGCTGAGCTAAAGCAATAGGTGGTTGGTCTGTGCTGTTGGGGCTGGGTGAAGGTGAGCAGGGCCAGCTGCAGCTCCTGGCTGCTGGGGCTGGATCCTGCCTGGCCCCCTCCCTGCTCAGGGCTTGGCAGCAGCTCGCAGGGAAGGGAGGAAGGAGAAACTGGTGCTGTGGTTTAAAGCAACTCTGCCTTCTTAGTGTTCTCATGGCTTTCATTCATTTAGTTTCCCACATATCTCAGTTGCTGCAAAGGGAATGTCTTTCCCTGGCTGCTTTCAAGGGAACCCCTGTTTTCCCTCTTTGTGTTCCGTGTTACTTTGGGTCTCCTTCCAAAACATTTTTCCCTGGCCTCCCCTCTCCCTTTCCTGTCAGTGACAGGAGTGGTTCCCTGAAGCTGGCCAAAGACTGGTGGTGTCTTGATGATGGACAGTGTGAGTCCAGGCTCTGCTGGTGGGGAAGAGCAAAATAGGGTAAATGCCCCAGTTCCTCACAAAGGTAGAAGAGCCTTGGAAGTCAAGCTTGGCATAAATCCTGGGCTAAGCTCCACTTTTCTTGTGCTTTACCTAGTGCATCAAAGTTTTCTCTTAGTTTAACAAGAGGTAAACCCATGTGGATTGTTTCCAGATCTGTACTGTCTATCTGAGGCAGAGCTGCATTTTTTCTGCACCTGTTCCCTGCAACAAATTGTTTGGAAGGCAGAAAGTCCAGGTGAGCACCTGCTGCCTTCACTCACTGTAGTGGAAGAAATCCACATGTGCTGTTAAGAAATATTCCTTCTCTCACTATTATATCAATCAGTCTTTATAGTATGAAAGTGTATTTAGTTGTTAATGTGTATCAGTTCACATTGCATGCTGTAATGTAAAGAGGTAGTAGAATTTTACTGGAGACTGCAGTATTGTTCAAGTTATTGCTTTAAGTAAAACAAGTTAAAGGACAGCCTGGTCCTAGAAATAAGGACTTTGCTTCTTGGAAGCCTAGAGTTGCCCATGAAGGATAATGATACCCCTGGACAGCCGTGGCAATGCCAGCATCATCATCCTCTAACATGTCTTTGATCCAAGAAAGTGCTGGGAGTGTTTCAGAGATAAGTAACTAGAGCAAGACTGACTCCAGTAACATCTGGATCATTAGACAAGCAGTAAGAAAGCTGCAAAACTAGCTGCTTTGCAAAGCTGATTCGTGATCAGTAGTGTGAATGCTAATGATTAGTCAAATTATGCTGCACCTGAATATTTGATGGGTGTAGAAGTCCTGTGAAAAACCACATTTAAGGCTCTCCAATTTGGCTGGGACAATTTTTGTGACAGTCTGCCTGGGGACTTGAGTAGACAGTGATGATGCAGATCAGTGCCAGCAACGCTTTGGTGAGGCCAGGGGCATCCAGAGCCTGCCCTGACCCTTCCAGCCCCAGGGGTAAGGTAGCAAAGCTCAGCATGACCAGTTGCACAGTCTCTGTGGGGCTGCATCCCCCCAGCCCTGGGGGGCAGCGGCACCCAGGACCACACGGGTGCTGGGCAGCCGTCACCTGTCTGACACTGCAGACTCCCTAACGCGGCCACAGCAGCCGCGCCTGCAGGGGCGGTCTGGGAGGTGTGCTGGCTCCTGGGGCTGTTTGCAGCTCTCAAAGCCCCATGCCGGTGCTCCTTTCTGTCCAGGAGGCTGCTGGAGGACTTCTGAGAGCCGTCGAACGCCTGTACCTCATCTTGCTTTCCAGAGAGGCAGCGGGGAGGAAGGGCGCCGATTTATTCCCTTAGACCGAGCCTGATCTCACCCGGCGTTGTTTGTGCAGCGTATTGCGATGTGCCCAACCCCTCCTTCCCTCGGCGCCGGCCCGAGCACCTGTCGGTCTCCAAACGTCACCAGGCTCCGGATATAAAGAGCGGCCGATAAAGCATCTCCCCGGCTCCATCTCTGCGAGCGGCGCATCTTCAGGGAGCGAGCCATACGCGGGCGCAAAGATGTTTTATTCGGGTATCCTGACAGAGCCGAGTAGAAAAGAAGTGGAGATAAGGGAAGCGGCGTCTCTCCGCCAGCAGAGGAGGATGAAGCAGGCGGTTCAGTTTATTCACAAGGATTCTGCAGATCTCCTCCCTCTGGATGGGCTGAAGAAGCTGGGGACTTCGAAAGATACTGTAAGGCTTTGTTGTCTTTACTGGAAGGGGACTTAAGAAGCTGGTAGGGCAGTGTCTATATTTTGTCTTCGTGCCGTTTTTCTGTTGGGAGGAGAAGTTGGTTGCTTGTGGAAACTCATTTTAAAAAACGAGACTTTTATATGCGAAAGGAAGGGAGTACAAACATGATGCTAGCTATAACCAGAGTTGCCTTCTTCTAGTAGGTGCTTCCAGACACCTGGCACTCAGATCTAAAAGCTTTTAATTTCTTTTTCGCTTTGGCATGAAAATGTGATACCATTTGCAGTACAAAAATCTTCTCTGAATCAGAGTAAGCCAAAATGGCTTCATATAATACATGCATGCAAACACATGTGTTTGCCTGTGATGTGTATGTAGGCACAACATGTAATCATAAACATTCAGTAAAGTCCAGTCACTATTATTTCAAAATATAAAACTGTCATGATCATGCTTTGATAAAGACATGCATATATGGATTTTTTTTAATAAAATAAAGATACATAATTTTAGGTTTAAAATATTTACATCTACAGTGATCCATGTGATCCTGCACTTGACATATGATATTACTCATCATGTACGGGGCTGGAGAGCGTTTCTAAATACTTATGTATGCAAATGTTTGAGCTTTCTCTAATGGGAAGGATACTTAAATGTTATATCAAAAGTTCTGACATAAGGAACAAAATCTAGAAAATATATCCTAAAGCTCCTTTACTTTTTTTTTGGTCAACGGTTGCAAAATTGTTGCATCCTGTAAAACAATATTTTTTGCTTTTTTTCAGTGCTTGATATGGATTTTATGGGGGGAAAAAAGTGCATCTTTTTATTTTTAGTGGTGTAGTTTTGTTCTATCACAGCCTTCCTGCTCAGCTGGGTTAGGCTTGGCTCTGCCTGTCTGAGACAAGTGGAATGAGTTGGCTGTTCTCTGCAGTGTGCATGGAGGTGATTTTTTTGACATCCCAAATGTTTTGCAGTTGTAGGAAGTGAGGGTCCTGCCCAGAGAAAGGCTCAGAAGGAGCTTTCCTGGTCACCACTGAATTGCAGCTCTCCCACGGGGAGCTACAAAGCGCCTTTCAGAGCGTGATGATGTTGTTATTACCATTACCTTCAAAGTCTAAATAACATGTGGTGGCTCAGTGACCTCCAGTGTGCCGGGCTGAGTGCCTGGTGACAGGTTTTCTGCTCTGCCCAGAAAAGAAGCAACAGGTAACAGGAGCCAGGGGCACTGAGCACTGAAGTCCTTGGCCCTACAGCAGCCAGGACCAGGTTTTGTCCCAGCACCAGGGGCAGAGCATGGGGCTCCTTACCACCACCTTGGTTACAGAAACGTCATCCGAGGTTTGCTCCCTTCTCCTGTGCCCACACTGGCTGAGCCAGGGCTGCAGCATCACCCCTGCTGCACCCACAGCTCCTGCAAGAAGAGTCCATGTGGGGGGCTCTCTCCAGGGATATTGCAAAGCCTTGGGGAGGTCCACAGCTCCAAGGAAGAAAGAAGGTGTGGCATGGCACTGCCCATCCTGGCTATCCTGGCTGTGGTGGGTCTCTGGCTTGGGATGGGGTGGGAACTGAGCTGGTATGGGCCACCCCACCGCAAAAACCCCCTTGTCCCCAGGCCACAGCAGGGGCTAATGGGACAGTGTGCACATGTGGCCAGGGCTCCCTTGGCCACAGGGACCCCCATGGGCCGTGTGGGGAGTCCCCAAAGTGACAGCACTGGCACATGCCCAGGCCCCTTCCCACAGCACCGGAGAAGACACCATGAATTTCAGGGATGTTGCAGCAGATCATGTCACAGAGAAGTGACACTGTGGGCACCGCCATGCTCACACCACACACAGCTGGGGTGGACCCACCGTGTATCTCTGGCTATAACGGCTGCCTGGATGTCACAAGAGTTGTCCCTGGGAGGAGCAGGAAATTGTTCATCTCTGAGACTGGAGAAGCACCTCTAAAATTGGGCCCCCACCTTGACATGGCCCCAAATTGAGAGGTCCGCGTCCAGAGGGGCTGAGCTGCGTGGTCAGGAGGCTCAGGGTGTCGGAGGTCTTTGCCCAAGGCATTTGCACGCCTTTCTTGTGAATAACTGCACACCTCCTCACAAAGCAGCACGTTCTCATGCCTAAGGCTGTGTGACAACTGTGGTGACGTGGGCAGAGGGGCTTCTGACGTGACCGGCGTTATTAATGCAGGGTTTCCCATGGGGTTTTCCAGCAGCCCTGACAGGAGAAGAGAGGAGGTAACAGCTCCCCAGAGACAGGGACAGGAGGTGAGAACAGATCCTGTCTCTCAGGGTGGGAGCTGGCAGCAAACACTCTGATTTTGGGGAGAAATCCCCTTCCTTTTGGCCATACAGCAGGGGTGCTGTGCACAGCAAAGGAGCAGCAGATCACCAGGGTGGGTGCACTGGCATCTCCCAGTTTTACTCAGCTCCTGAAGCATCTCTCCTGGTGATACCATGTACAGGCAGGTTTGATAAATACTTGTAATGATCTGTGTTAAGCTTATGATAATTGCCAGTGTATTACTCTGGCTCAGATCGAATTCTAGCTCCTTCCTCCCTTTACATACTCCACTCTGCCTAGTGTAAGACCAAACTACAGCATAGCATAGCCTACATTGAATTTGGCAAATGTAGGGCTGGATATACAGAGTAGAAATGGTTTTGTTTTGGTGCCTACTAGCCTCTTCCCTGAAGCCCAGAAAACTGGCACGAAATGGTCCTTAGCTGGGATGTGGGCTTCCTGACATGGTAACCGTGACCCCCTTCCCAGCTTGGACAGGGTGTGCTGGCTGTTGGCAGCTCCTCCTGGTGCTCTGACACTTCTCCCTCACTCCGAGAGCTGCCGAACCAGTTTGAAGGGGCGTTAGTTGAAACAGTCCCGCATCTCATCACAAGCTGGGAAACAAAGTTATAAATAGCAATTACAACAACAAAAAGCATTTCCCCAGTATGCCCTCAGAACCTCCCCTGGGCACCATCAGGACAACTCTGGGTGTCCCCATGGCACTGGCCTCTGTAGGTGGTTGCAACACTGCTGTTAATTGCAGTGCATTCAGTTGTCCCCACTTTTCCCACGTCCCTGGATTTGCTGTGTCTTGGCTGAAATGCAAAAATCTTTGACGATACATGCACTGTCTTGCTCAGAGACCTGGCTGCTCTCTGGGCACCCAGGGGTGCAGGGGGCAGCTCTTATCCCATCTTATCGCCCTGTGAGTGGGACTGACAGCACACGAGCACAGGATGCTGGTAGAAGACGTGTTTGGATGAAGGATGGGAAGGAGAGAGAGAAATTGGTTATTTCTTGGGCTTAGCTCCATTTGTGCATTAACCCCCCTTTTTTTCCCCCTACTGTTTAGGTACAGAAGAGAAGGCAAACCCCTTGAGATGGGTCTGGGGAGGGGAAGAGCCAGCATGTTCCCTGACTTTCATCTGCACCTAGTGAAACTGTTGTTGATGGGTCTTGTTATTCCCAGATCTAGAAGCCAAAATAGTGGGAAAACTGCCAGAGAGAGAGAGAGAGATATTGCAAGCTGCAGCAATGCACTTGCTTATACATCAGAGAAAAACAAAACTGGGCAGAATTATTTGTATTTTTGACAGACAGTGGTAAATAGGTTAAGCAAAAGCTGTGTCTCCACTTGCTTCTTTGGGTTTCTACTTTGACATTTTTAGGGGATTATGGGTTTTTGCAAAGTCTGAGTTGGAAAGGGAGATAAGAAAAAAATCCTGGTTTGTATTTATGTGGTGCTGAATGATACTAGGAAATATTTTTGCACTGACACAATGAAATGTAACATTTTATATTTTATAAAACATTCACCAGGTTTGTGCAAAGCACACTAATACAGTACCAGATAGTCTGAGTTACTTCAAATACTGTTCCTGGTTCTGTGGCTGGCCCTCACTGGAGGGAGAGCACAGCTGCCTTCTCCACTGCTGTCACAGGGAGGTTTTTCTCCTCTCCCTCCCTCCCAGACATGGTCCACTTGCAGTTTGCCAGCAAAATGTGCATTTGCAAATGTTCCCTGACACATTATCTGTTTACCAAGTACGTGTCCATCACTTGAGTCATTTCCGTGACTAGCATCCCTCACTCTGTTGCACAAGAGTCAAGGGAAACACAAGTTAAAGCAAACTAATTAATAGCCTGAGACAGGATGGTGCTGTAGGGAATGTTTTCAGCCCCCTCTTGCTAGATTATTTCTGTACTGGAGCACAATGTAAGGAACATTTGTCCCCCCCACAGGCAGAATTTGCTGTGATTTTCAGAAGAGCAAGTGTCAGCAAAAGACAATCCTGTTTGTGATGGTAACTCATCTTCACTGAGTAATGAACTTTTTCCTTTTGGTAATGGATCCCACATAGGATTCATAAAACCAGGGTCTCAGAAAATCCATGTATGTTACTAGTTAGCAATCCATAGGAGAACTTGTAGTTAAAAAAATTTAGGTTTAGTTCAAGGGTAGATGACAGTTAAGGGAGCAATGAGGAGTGTGCTGGTGATTGAGGCCAGACAGATCAGAAGAGTAACCAGACTGTCCTGGATGATGCCATTCAGAAATTTCTCTTGGTCCTGGCTGAATGGGGCTGAGCATGAGGAATTGGCCACTGTATGACAAGCTGTCTTTTGGCCAGCTGGGTCAAAGCTGGGTGAACTTCACCCATCTACTTTTACAGTCCAATATCCCCTCTTTTTTCACTTTTTTTTTTTTTAATGATGTGAAGAATTAATCCTCCAAATGTATTCCTGAGCTGCAGGCATACACAAAGGGTAAGAAGGACATCCCATCCACTATCAGCAAGCCTTGGCTTGCATTTTCACTCGGATGCGGAGCATTGGAGGTGATCACAGCGCTGACTGTGCATCTTGACTTCTGCCTCATATAAGGGAGTCCTCGCTTCCAAACTGATTTGCTTGCCCCTGCACACAGGGATAGTCCAGCCAGTCTGCCTGCCTTTAATCTAGTTAAGCATCACTGGTTCCTGCTGTTCGGTCTCACTGGGAAGGCTGGTGGTCACTGGAGCAGAGCATGAAGGAGGCAGCACAATGTCAGGTCTGATTCCTCCCCACCATGACAGCGGCTGTGTTATTGCCTGCACACAGGACATGCTCTCTGTTGTGGTGGTCAGACACAGCACCTGCAGCCCAAAATGGTCATGGAATTTAATTTCAAGTCACAGGTTGCACGCAGAAATAAGGACAGCAAAAACTGGGGACAAAAGGAGATGACATGTCCCGGTGACCACTGGTGCTGGATGTATCTGCCCAACCTCATCAGTCAGGTCCAGTGTAACCACCCATGTTGTGCCTAGAGCAGGATCTGAAGCGCTAACATGGCTGCAGTTATTTTAGGATGATGCCAGGTTGCATTAGACTTTTCTAAGTGCTGTTATTTAACATGCTGCACAGACAAGATGCTGTGCACAAGGGTGTGCGCTGGCCAGCTAAGGGAGCCATGGCCCCAGGTTTTCAAAGTTATCCTGAATCTGAAATTCTCCTGGGATGAGGAGGTTTGCTTGTTCAGACGTCTCTGCAGACACACAGGCATATTTAATTTGAATGCAAAAATTCAGGAATAAGCCATTAAGAATGTCTCACTGTGGACAAATTAAACTCCAAAGGAAAGGAGTAATGGGGAGGGCAGATTAGCCGGGCAGAGAAATGAGCAGATAATCAAGCAGAGTAATTTCACCTCCAGCAGAGTATGTGCATCCACCTGTGGCAAACATTAAACATAAAAAGGCTTTTGGAAAAGTGGTTGGAGGAGATTTTGAGAGGCAGCATGCTTCTCGCAGAGCAAATGGAAATGACAGAGAAAGCAAGAAGCTGCTGCATGAAGCTGGGTGTTCCTGGGAGAATACCTGCCTAGCTACCTACCTCAGACTAGCTTACCCCTTCTCTTCCTCTCACTTTTCTCTGGTGGCATGCCCCTCAGGACTGGTCCCACTTACCCTTAGCAGCTAAAACGTAGCAAAGAAATACATAGGGCAATTTTAGACCAGGTCATAGACCTTCTTCATAATTAGCTGGTGAATTTAATTGGAAAGGTAATTTGTTACATCTTAATTTTTCACATCACTACAGAATTCCCAACATCCTTATCAACAGATGGAGGCAATTATGGCTGAAACACTAACTTGAAAAAGCTGGACTTGTTTTGATTCCTATATGCAATCAAATCTTGAACTTGAGTTTGGAAAAAAAGGCATCCCTCCAAATTCTGGTTAATATTTTGGAAGTATTATTCCCTGCACAATACAAAACAGTTCTCTTTAGTCCAAGCCAGGTAAGCTAGAGATGTCTAGGAAGAGTACTTGCAGTCTAGGAATCAGGGAGACTGACACTTTAGGACATCCCTCCTGTGAGAGCAGTACTGGCCCGTGGGCACCACAGGCAGGCTGGTGACGCAGGTCGCTGTGGCTTTCCTCTGACTTCACCCTGCTCTTCTGTGTGTGTTCTCTCTTAAAGCAACCACATAATATCCTGCAGAAACGCCTGATGGAGACAAACTTATCAAAGTTACGAAGCAACCGAGGCTGCTGGTCTCTGAAGGGTGATATCCCACCGCAGACCAACAAGCTGAATCAAACCAAACTGGGAAGCTCAGAAAAAACGGAGGATGAAGAGCTCATAGTAGTGAGCTGCCAGGTAATAGTCCCTCCCCAGTCTTTTGGGCGTTTTTCCCACAACTTTTATTTCTGACACCCTCAAGCTGTGCTCTTGTTCTCCATGTTTCCTGGTTAAGGTTGTGCTCTCTCGAGACTGTCACAGCTGTGGGGATGCATTATCTCTGCAGCTCTGGGCTGCTGTGGCAGAGACAGCCACCTGATATCACAGAACAAACTGGTCTGATGGATGTCTTCCCTCACACATCAGGGTGGAGAGGGTAGCTAGGATGGGGCAGCATGCTGAAATACTGAGGCATAATTATCCATGGCAAATCCCTGTGTTCATAGCCTATTTGTTTTCCTCAAATGCCATCCCTTTTTTCTTTCCCAAGGGTAATTTCACATTTCTCCTTCTTATCCCCACACTTTTTTGTATTTCCCACTCTCTGCAATATCTGCCCCTGCCCGGGGCTGCTCTTTCTGCTCTCTGCAGGGGTAAAAGGCCCAGGGAGAGCTCAGGACCCAGCACACATCTAAGTGTGCAGTACAGAAGGGATGGGCTGGCATGAGGAGATTTGATGGGGACTGGTGTGTGCAGAATGAAGACCCTGGACACCCTGCACTCATCCTGCATTCCACACATCATCTCCCATCTCTTCTTGCTATTGCAGTGTGCAGGGCAGGAGCTGAAGGCTGTGGTGGACACTGGCTCACAACACAACCTCATGTCGTCTGCCTGCCTGGACAGGTTAGGGTAAGTATCCAGCTGGATTTCTGTGTTGCGGGAACATGGCACCTGGCAGCACAGCGAATGCTCCTGGGGCTGAGGCTTTGCTCATCCCAGTGATGATTGTTCTGGAAGAGAGTGCTTTGGGCTGTACCTGGGCAAGCCCCTGAGCCTCCTGTTACAACCGAATTCTAGCCCAGTCTTAAATGGCAGGGAGGGAATCCCTTCAGAGGGTTGGATGCATTTGTGTTTTTTCAGTTTGTTTCTTTCAGACTGTTTGTCATTCAGTGCCTCACGAAATAGCTGAACCTCCCTCAGCCTTCTGAGTCCCTGGGGCAGGTGTGGGGCTGCAGCTTCGCAGGTCCCTGTGTCAAGGCAGGGACCTGGCTGCTGCCCATGCTCCCACTGGTGGCTGCAGCACTGCTGGCCCCAGCACCCGGTGTAAAGGAGCTGTGTGGATGAACGTGTTCGGAATTTGGTGTCTGATGCTGATCCCAACAACAAATTTTTCGTGGTTAAAGCAAATGAAATATATTTATGGAGTGTTAGGGAGGTGACTGCCAGCCATTTGCAGCAAAACTCTCTCTGATCTCTTAGGAGCAGAATCAGGCATCAGCTCACAGGGTATCAAACTGATTTTGGCACTTTATTGCCATGGAGTCATTGCTTTTTGTAGCTAACTTGCAGCGATTATTCAAAAAACAATTGTACCTACTCCCTGAGCACTACTGCATGGCCCTGAATGAGTGGTGCTTATTTGCAGTTTAGTGGCTGGAAGGTGGCTGTACTTCCTACAACCTTGTCACAATCTGTGGAGCAGCTCAGCCAAGCTTAGGGATGGTCACAGTGCATTTAGAGGGGTTCTCAGTACAGCAAGATGCTGTACTGGCTGCTCTACTCCTCTAAGTCTCACAGTGATGCTCTGTGACAGTTCATCTGCTCCCTGTGTTACTTATGTGTGGGCAGTGTAGTTCTTGCAGCACTGGTCTGCTGCAGCAGAGCTGCCCTTCAAAGACTGCTGAAGAAACAGGTTATACCCTGTTTTCTGCTCTCAGGTTTTGGGGATTCCCTCCTGATCTGAGCGAGATCACTCTTGTAGCAATCAGCCAGGCAGCTGCAGTTACAACAAGGCCCATGTCCCTCAATGGTGTTACTCCTCAGCGATGAGTAAGCTGTGGTTCCTGCAGGCTGGGACCCCAGGGACACCGGTGTGTGCCAGAGACCCACAGCCTGTGCAGGCAGAGGGACACCCATCCCAAATGGGCTGCCAGCCAGGGCACACAGCAGGCAGGGATACCTCACAGGCAGCTGCCTTCAGATCTTTTGCTGTCTGTGGTTTTGGGGACAGAAGCTAAAGCCAGATTAGCAAAGTGGGTTAAAACCAGGGCTTTGATGCCTGGCTTGCTCTGCCGTCACTGTGGTAGGTTCTGTGCGACAACAGGCACTGCTCCAGCACGTTCTACTTCAAAGCAGTCCAGTGGCAAGGATAAAACATGAGTTTTGTTTAAATCCAGCCCTGGAAAGCAGCAGGAAAGAGGCATGCTGGGTGATTTTGCATTTAGGGGAAGGAAGAGGCCCTGCTGTGTGCTTTGCTGTGTGCTGCTGCCTGCAGCTGGGGCTCTGCAGCTCTGGGGCTGGGCTCAGCTGCCCAGGTCTCTGGGGACTCAGCACCTCAATGCAGCGTGTAGGTGTCTGAGAATCAGGCTCAATTCCTCCTTTCTCTTTCAAAAACCTTTTTGCATCTTGTCATGATGCCGCTCAAGCTCTCTCCCTTGGGAGAGAGTGGAATAAGCTCACGGGTTGCCACAGTGTGAGAAATCCCCTGTAGGTACAGGAGGAGGCCAAGGATCTCATAAACTTCTCATTGATATTTTCCCACTGATTTTAAAAGCCAGTCCCCAAAAAAGCAGCAGAGAGGATTCAGCTCCTTCTCCCTGCTACCTCTCCCAGTCCCTGTACCTGTGCCAAATGGTGTGGGCAATGCCCACCTCTGTCCTGGGGCTTCTGCCTCTGAGGGGGCTGGTCCCCCCAGGACAGACAGACACACATACACACACTCACTGCTGCAATGCGGCTCAGCAGAAAGGCACCTCAAATAGCTGAAAAGTGATACGGCTTTTATCTGAGAGAGACATCAGCGCCTCAAACTGCCTTTCCATCAGATTCTTGTTCAGTTTAAAAGAGAAACTGAAGCTAAATAATTAATCAGTATTGTCAGACTGGTTCACAGGGTGTAGATAGAAGAGACAACTGTACCTGAGGTATTTCTGACATCCATTTTTCCTTTCCTTGGGCTGAATGTGATTGATCTGTCCCCATTTCCTCTGAACAAAGCCAGCAGCAACACCTAACAAACTAACAAAAGTGTATTGGGTGTGTTGCCTCAGCTGTGAGCCATGTTGTTTAGCTTGGGGCAAAGGAGGCTCAGGGGCACCTTATCACTCTCTACAACTACCTGAAAGGAGGCTTTAGTGAGGTGGGAGTTGGTTTCTTCTCACTGGTAACAAGTGACAGGACCAGAGGAAATGGCCTCAAATTGTGCCATGGGAGATTTAGTTTGGATATTAGGAAAAATTTCTTCACTGAAAGGATGGTCGGGCCTTGGAACAAGCTGCTCAAGGAAGTGGTGTGATCTCCATCCACAGAAGTGTTCAAAAAGTGTGTGGATGTGGCACTTGGGGACATGGTTTAGTAGTGAGCTTGGCAGTGCTGGGTAGACAGCTGGACTTGATGACCTTAGAGGTCTGTTCTAACATTAACATTTCTATGATTCCATGGGGACACAGTGTTGGTGTCGTCAGCTCCACTGGTGGAAACTGGAGTGGACTATCCCTTCCTTACATCCACACTGCATTAGGAGCAATTTTATGTCAACACCTTCCCAAAGTCTTGAGGAAATGTAGGAAAAAGATTCCTCAGGTAAAAACCAAAATCCAGTACAGAGCTGTGCTTGGGGCAGCCCCAGAGTGGCATTGTGGGTTGTGCTATGGTCTGATATGAGTGTGGGCTGCTGGCTGCCTGCAGGGATCCGCAGACAAACTGCCAGGGAAGCAGCTTTCCAATAACAGCTTGGTAACATGAGCGAGCTAAGAGCACTTCAGTGTAAGTACCCTCCAAACACTATTTGCTCCCTGCTGGAGCAGCCAAACCATGTTTGATGTTAGAAGTGTTTTCAATGCACAGGTTAAAGGAGCATCTCAAAGAGCTCCCTGTCGAAGACGAGATGGTTTCGTTGCCGAACAAGGTGAAGGCCATCGGCCAGGTCGAGTGTCTCGCCCTCACGGTGGGAGCGGTTCCCGTGGAGTGCACTGCCCTCGTCGTGGGTGAGTGTGTGTGTGTGTGTGTGTTCCTCTGGGTATGGGATGGGGTTCTACTCCCTCTTACCCCCACAGCAAAAATGAAGCTTTAGAAAGACATTAAACAAAAATAAAGAAAGTCCCTGCTTGGCCCTTCAGAGGGAGGGAGGGAGGATGTGTCCAGCAGGGCTGTGCTGGAGGCACCAGGCTTGGTTTCTGCTCTGCCACGCCAGTGGAGCAACCACTGCATCTCCCTGTAGGTGCATCTGCCTGCCCTTCTCTGATCATCTTCTCCTCTGGAGTCACTCAGTCCCTTTACAAACAGGGTTTTACTTAGCAGAGCAGCCATGAAGGAAGGATGGAGTCACTGACAAAAAGCGTAGGAGGGCATTTTGAATGTATAAATCTGAATAGTCATGTTTTTTCAGAAGACAATGAGAAACCCTTCTCCTTTGGGCTGCAGACACTGAAGTCTCTGAAGGTAGGAGTTTTCCAGCGGGGTGCTTACCCATGCTGGTGGGGGAGCTGGGACCACTATGAGTTGTGGTTTTCCCTCTTACCTAAAGGCATTTATTCTCTACAGTGTGTCATAAACATGGAGAAGCACCACCTTGTTCTGGGGAAGACGGACAGGGAAGAAATCCCGTTTGTGGGCAGTGACAGCGCTGCGGCAGGAGAGCAGTAAGTTGGCTGGGGAGGTGAGCTGCATGTGCATCCCTGAGCCTGATGGCTCAGTGCCCCCCAGTAGGGGCATGCAGAAGCCCCCAGATCTTTGCTGCAGGAGACAGAGAGCTCACTGACCCAGAAATTGTTTCATCAACTCATTTAGTTTTGAAATGGAGTCCCTGGCTTTCTCATCAGCCTTTGTCAGCTTTTGCTGCTTTTTTTCTGGTAAACATTGCACATCAAAGCGAGTGTCTGAAAAGACACGCAGAGGGAAATGCCTTAGGAAGCATACTTTTTGGAGGTCACTTGGAAGACTCCTTGAGTTCTGCTTTGACATTGTTCCCAAACAAACCTTTTTCTGGAAAATATTTATAGAGCAAGGCTGGTAAACCCACATCAATGTTTGAGAGAGAGATCCTGCCTGGAGATAATGGTGTTGCCACTTCTCCCCGCATTGCCCCAGCTGCCCTCCTGCCAGCTGTTCCCGGTGTCCCGGACTTTTTCAGCCTTATCTCCCCCCAAAAAGATAAATATATGCTATACCTCCTAAATGTGTGTAGCTGTGGTGCCTGGATCTGCAGGCAAGCAGGCAGCAGGCAGGGCAAACCCTGTCCTTCCAGGCACAGCATGAGGCTCCTTCTCTCTGAGCGCTGTGGATAAGAGATGTATCACTGGTTCCTGCCTCTGACTTAAGAAACTGGCAGGCACCGAGTGTCTGAGAGGGGGATTTGCACTTAATGTGCCTTCGCAGGCAGCACTTGTGGTTGCTGAGTGATGAGCAACCTAAAAAACGTTTCCTCACTGCTTAAGAAAGCATCTTTGGCAGGTGATGGTGGTCAGCATCTTCTTTAGCTGCCTGTCACAACCAGCCACAGTCATTTTGGATGTCCTGCAGCCCCGGTGCAGCTCCAGCCTGCTGTGCTGGACACCACTGAGCTCAAGGAGCCTGGGTGGGAGCGGGGAAGGAGCACACCTTCCTCAGCTAATTGTATTTATGGTCCTCGGGGAGTGCCTGAGGGATGTACGGACTAGCGCAGGGAGTCAGGAAGAGAGCACACGTGCACCTGCTGTGTGCCCAGGACAGCCAATGGCCAGGAGAGCTGGCAGTGTGTGATCCCAGGGAATGCCAGGTACAGCACTGTGGGGAACCATGCAAAACCACTGGGTATTTTCCCTGTCTCCTTTGAAACAGGGATGCGAGAGATGCAGTTGAGTTCTGTCACCACTGCAGTGATAGATTATTTCTTAGTACTGCATTCAAGGGCAAATTATGCTGCCTTTTTTTTTATTTTTCATGAAAAATGCCTGTTTTGTTGAGTGTCTTCTCCCTCCTGTTCCAGCAGTTTGGAGGCATAAAGAGAAATTGAAACACCATCCACACACAAGAGCTTGACATCAAAGAAATCCTGTGCAGCTGTTCCAGATGAAACAGCAGCGCGCTGCTTTGACAACATTTATACTAGGCTACAGCTTGAGTAGAGCTAAATGAAATCCTGTTTGTAGCCAGTAATTTAGAGATATTGTCATGTTTATCTATGTTTTTTGAGAAACAAATGTGTGCTTATTTTCTGGACTTTTCTATAACCTGTCCTCTTTATTACAAACAGTTGGTAAAACCTTATGAATTTCTTCTGATGAGAAAAATACTTTTTATAGTGGCCTCATATGAGTAATTATATTTAGCTGTCATTAGAGGCTATCAAAATGAGATTTTTATTAATGATTTTTCCAGGAACTAAGCATTTATATTCACTTAATTGATATTGCCACATTCAAATGGCCATTACCAGGAAGTTACTCAGAGCAAAATAACAATGTTAATACCACCTAGGAATTATAGCTCATCCTGTTAGCATAGTATTGTTGCCATGTAATTAAGGATGCAACTGCTGGCTTGATGAGAAAGAGCAATTGCAGAATTATTAATGGGTTAGAGTGTTCTCTGCAGTGGTGTGGCAGAAGCACAGAAACAGGGTTTGGGAGGGCTCCCAGGGTGATCTTCCACAGCCCCCAGCTCACTCTGGGGTTGGCATAGGGCTCAAAACCCACAGAGGAGGGATCCTCCAGGCAAGCCTTGGCTGTCTTCCTGTGGGGGTAGTCAAAAAAATTAATCATTGTATTGAGCGAAAAAGCACCAAACAAGCACAAAAATATGTTGTCTGGAAAGCATCAGATACAGAGCCTCAATGGTACATCAGGACCCAGATGGCCCCAACGTGCCCTTGGTTCTCCCCTGCCACCAGGACTGGTGCCTCTGCCTGCCCAGCACCCAGCCTGAAGCACCCACAGCAGCCAGGCTGTGTGCTAGTGTGGGTTATCACCTCCTGTTGCACTTAAGTGCTGCTGCCAGAAATGCCATATTTTTTATATCTATCTACAAATTGCCTGGGATTTTAGGTATGACACCAACCTGGATTACCCTCAGGGTGAGGAAGGAGTCTTTGCCAAGACAAGCGTTTCATTTGGTGTTACTGTCCTGTAGCAGCAGGGTTGCTACTTCCCGTGTTGCTTGCTTGCAGACCAGAACAAACAAACCTATGGCATTGCCTGGGGGGGGGCCTGGCCTCGCACAAAAACAGCTTTCTAGATTTTTAAAAGCTAATAATTAATCTTTGTCATCTGCTGAAGAGGCACCTTTAAAAATCAGAATAATGTATCTGTGATGTTGTGCATCCGCTGTCAGCTGGTCCCCCTGTGCCGTAGGAGTGAGAGCGCTGCTCCAGCAGCTCTTCCTTAGCAAAAGCCCTTTGGCCCTGTCGGGCACAGGCTGCAGGGTGGCTTGGCTAGGCTGGGGGGCTCCTGCAGGATCCAAGCTGCTCCTGCCTCTAATCCTTCCTGCATCCATGGATGCACCACGTGCCCAGGGATCCCACCGGGCGGAGCATCAGCTGCAAGTACTGACAGCGTCACTGACATTCCCACTTAGGAAGTGTCTTGATGGTCCTGGGTGAGGACCAGTAACTCTTGTCACCTCATGGCTCAGATCTGGAGCCCATCCCACCAGCCAGGCTCCTGCCATCTTTAGCCAGTCTGTGCCCACTCACCTGCCAGGGCATCTGAGTTGGAGCTTTATCTCCTGCAGTGAGTTTGAACCTCTTTTCGATATTGGGTATGTCTAGAAAATCTGAACTATCTGTATTTTGAGCTATTTTCTATTTTGGTGATAAGTTTCAGTGCTTTCTCTACATACAATATTTTATAAAACACAGCTATATATATGTATGTATTTACAGGGTTGGGCTGTCCAGGTCAGTCCTACTGATGTGTTGTAGAAATATTTCACTAAATATGAAATATATTTGGTTATTTTATATGCTATGAGTTTGGTATTTTGGTATTTTTTTCTTTCTGTGCTTATTACTGTGCTAAATGTCAAATTAAATCTAAATAAAGTTACACTGATATTACAATTTATTTGCTTCTTCCCTGGATATACTGGTTTTTGTTTGTTTTCAGTGCAATTCTCTGTTGAGAATGGGAGTTAATTTCACTCTTTAGTCTGACAAGGCTCCGAAATGTTTTTGGAAATGCTGTTGGGAATTTCCATCAGACCAACGAGGAGAAGCAGTGGAGATGCACTGATCAGGCAGGATAAAAGGCACAAGGCATGTGGGTTAAATGTGAGCCCTCGAAATCTCAGCCTTTTGTTGCCATGTGTCTCCCTCCCAGAGAAGGTGTGAGACAGCTGAGTGTTTATGCTGTGTTTGGCTGTGGCTCGCTGGGGCAATGCCAGCCAGTGCAGGCAAATAGGAAGGCCCTTTGTGAACTCTGGAAAACTAGGAAAAGAAAGTGGCCAGAACAAAAGACATGGTGAGGCAAGGCATGTGTGCAGTAACCATGTGACCACAGACAGAAGTGCAGAAGCCTGAGATTAGGGTCTTCCCCAAAAGTTTGAATGTGAATTTAGGGACTTGCTGTCTCTGCCCAGATGGGCTTTAGGCTGCTGCAGCAGTAGTTAAGCTCTATATTACCAATGAGAAATTATCCTTTTACCCACTCAAATTCTCACAGCAAAAACCTTTGGTGGAGCAGGAACACTCCAGCCCAGTAAAACTGGCTCTCCTTGGTGCTGGGCTGGCTTTCTCTGAGCGAGGAAGGAAACCAGGCTCCAGCAATAAAGTGGAGAAAAAATGAGGAGGATAAATGTACAGGCAAAAATAATGTCTTGTGCTTCCTGGAGCTGCTACAGGTTTCTAGACTTACTCAGACTATTCCTGATGCTAGAGAGCAGAGTCCTAGCACATGCAAATGAAGAATCAATGGGCAAAATTCCATTCATTCTGTGCAGAGCAGGACTAACTCTGATGCTGGAGGCCTTTCAGAGGTGATTCCTGTGAACAGAATGCTCTGTAAGACAGGTTAGCTGCTACAGGAGACAGGTACTCACCTCAGTCCATAGGGATTATAGACTATGGGAAGTAACATAAGATCTCTGCATCCACACAAAAACTTGCATGGCCACAGAGGTAAATGGTAAAGCAGCTGAGTGCTACAGATCAGCTCAGCAAGCCCTCACTGCTTGATCCTGCTTTATCTGCAGCACAGGCGTGTGTCTATGCACCTTTGGCAACCTCTCCATGACATGGGTTTGCAGGAAGTCCAGGCATGGCCTTGTAACTGAGGGACCTGCTGCCTCTTGGTAGGTGGCTGGGGGCAGAGAAAAGAGCAATGCTTGAAACCATCTGGGATAGGAAGGACTTGGGAGACAAAAAGATAACTTTGAGAGGATGTTTGAGAAGCCCCCGGGGTGGCAGTGGGTTTTGTTGAATGATTTATGCCCCAGCTGATTAACACTGTCATGCTGCACACAAACTTCTCACAGGTGAAGGCAAGTACAACCCCCCTTCCCAAGTAGCCTCAGGAAAAATGAGCCAGCTGCTCCGTGGCCAAAGGGCTCCCCAGGACTGTCCTTATGCTCATGGGGTCAGCAAAACATGGTGGGACAAAACACCTTTGCCCCCTCCAATGCCTTGTCTTCATTTTGGTCATGTGTAAAGCAGAGACAAAGCCTGCAAAGAAGAAGACATTAAACAGAAGCCTTGGTGGGTCCACCAGAGCTTCAAAAGCTGGTGGAACATGCAAGACCTTGACGGTGGGGCTCTTGCAATTAAGATGGCCCATGTGAGTAAGACATCGACCCTCGCTGAAAATTTTAGAGTCCTGGAGATCTGGTGGACAGTGGCTGTCAGGTTCCCAGTTTGTGTCTGTGTTTCATTGCAAGTGATGCACCCAAGGGCACGTGGGCAGGCAGTAGCAGAGGAGGAGCACCCTGGGGCTCTCCCCATGACCCCACCACCTCCCACCACGTTGGTCCGAACAGCTATGAAGCTGACCAGCTCCTTCTGGGCTGGCCACTCTGCAGCAGCAGCTGCTGCTGATCCAAGTGGAAAGCCAGAGGCCATTGCCAGGAGTAGCCCAACAGCAATTATTCGCATGCATTTTGTGTCCTGCTGAGATCCACCAACATTTTTTCATCACCTCTGCCAGTGGAGCAGCTGATTAGATGAGACCTGCTGGGTCATCTCTTCACAGTTATCTCCAGGGTAATCTGTTATCTAATAGTTCTCTGGGGAGGTCCTTTTTATGGGCTTTTCTATTACTGATGATAACGTGATGCTCAACATGTTGTGAAAACAAATCTGATTTGTATGTCTCAAATAGATGATTTATTTTGATATAAACATATGCTTTAGGGCTGTGTATTGCTGCGTTTATTTTATGGGGCAAACATAAAATAAAACATGGTCTGTATTGCTTTATCACCTGCTCACTTAAAAAATGGAGGTGAGGTATCAGGTTTCTATCAATTGAAAGTCTGCTCTTTTTCCTAAGGTGAGTTTTCTCTTTTCTCCCTTTTTCATGCGCTGTGCACTGCTGGGGTAGCTCAGCCATGTGCTGGTCTCCTCCTTTTCCTCCTCTGTTAACAACCACATGGCTGACGAAAGGTTACAGTCTCTGGAGATGACACTGTAGGTGTCGGTGACATTTCACCAGAGGTGGCATTGCTGAAAAGGCAATTGATTTAATGATTTTGTTACTAGAGTGGTGCTGCCACCACTTCCCCAGGATGAGATTTCATCACTCTCAAAGTGGGTGTGAAGACAGTCAACAACCTAAAAATATCAAGAGTTTAGGAACGGCAGGAAGCCACGGCAGCAGGAGAATTAGCTGGGAGGGGAGGGGGGGTGGTGCTGCAGGGACTTTCTCCCTTTCTTTTTTTGAGTGCAATGGGATCGATGCCTGGGGCTTGTGGCTGCCCCCACTGTGAAACACAGTTGGACTCTCCAGAAAAGCTTCTGACTCACACAAGGGGAAGTGGTGTGAAGCTGTGTGTTCACTAAAAGTAAAACAGCCCAGGTGGGGTATCTGCAGAAGGTGGGGAGCCCTTAGTGCCTTTTCAGCCCTATGTGTCTCATCTTTGCTGTCGACCTCTCCCCCCTGGACAGTGGCAGGGCCAGCACTGATTTTCTGCTCACTTCCTCCCACCTCTCTTTCTCAAAGACCAGGAGAAACAGCCTCCTCCCTGCAATGGAATGCAGACACCGCTACTGCAGGTGCGAAAACCACCACCTAACTCTTCGAGGTGCCTCCAGGGGGTGCACTGCCTGGGGGGCTGGCACAGCCTGCACAGGCTCTCTGCCCTGTGCTGTGGTACCTGGCAGTGCCTCACTGCTGTTTGTGGTTTGCTTGGCTGGGCTGGCCCGGGCTGAAGCTGCAGGAACCATGCTGGGGCACAGCAGGCTACAGTGTCCCTGTGCTCTTGCCGGGCAGGAGCCCCACGGGTGACACGGGGGCTGCAGAAAGCTGGTGCCCCAGCTTAGTGGCAGAAGAAAGGTGGCAATTGCTCCTACCAAGGGATGAAGCACTAAGAGAGGACTGCCAGGAAGAATAGGGTGGAAGACCTGGACCCAGCCACCCAAAAACTCTCACTGCTGGAAGGAAATGGCAGGGAAGGCCAACTACCACTGCAACCCAGGGGTGTACAGCTGGACCACCTCATTTTCCAGGTGTTGCCAGCTGGGAAGCATCTCAATGGCAATGCTGGCAAAAGTAGTCTTGAAAAATACTGCTTAAGGAAAGGAGCAATATTGAGACCTGT